AGGAGTTTAACCAACACATACACACGTGCAAACACACTCCGGGCCTGTGTGCATGTACGCGTACTCTGCTACATCGCCAGAAATATCGATAAACACGACACGAAGGTCGGCCACGAGCGGTGATCGGCACCCCTCTTTCATTCTCGAAATAACCTTCGTCTATTTCCTTTCTGTTCTTCTTTTTGTTCTAGTCTTGCTGCCGCGCATTCTCATTTTATAGATGATAATTACCGCGTCAGTCGATTCGATCGATATCGGTGTTTGCGGAACTATCGACTCCTTATCATCCATCATCCGCCGTTTCTTTTTAACCTTTCTCTTAATAGCGATATCTTTTATGATTTATTGTTAAATTAATTACAACGAAAGAAGGAAAAGGATATATTCGAATCTATCTGCCTTTTTGATTGTTCGGTTTATTTTATTTCATTCTAACGGAATAACGATTCCTTTTTTGAAGAATCGAGCTCAATCGGATTATGGAATCGGTCGACGTAATCTCTTTTTTAGGTACGGCTAGTTTTAACGAAAGCGTAAATTAAATTGCTTTCTGTTTCATTTGACGAGATTAATCGTAGATTGGGTGGTGTGATTTTTCAAGTTCTTCGAAGAGAGAACTCATTGTTATATAGATAGGTTCGTTATTGAAGTAGACAGTGATTGAAGATATTTCGAGTTTTCCTTTGAAGCACAATTGTAAAATCTTTTTAAGAGATCTTTTCAAACATATCTATATATATTTTTTAAATTGATAAAGTTTCTTTTTGTCTCTCTGTAGAGTACATTATGATCATTGTGAAATTTGACATTCGATGATGCAGTTAATTTCAGTTAAACATGCTAATGACATATGTATGTATATTACGTTAATGATAATTCGCATATATTATCATTTTAATCATAATTTGCTGCGACGAGTTTTATTGGATATATGAGATGATGAAATAGTTTTCGATATAGCGTGCACGAAGCGAAATACACGTTGTTTAATTGAACGTGTTCATGATTTCGATATTTGACTTACATTAGTGAACCATGTGTACGTACATATACATTATGTGCATAAATTATGAACGCAAGTGCAATCTACTGCATGCGGTGCATTTATAGTTGTGCATTTATAGTTGTTTTATTGAGAAAATCTCAAACAGAATAATAATTTTGACCATGTACTGGTAGTACAAAACAAGTATCAATTTACATTTATATATCTGCGCACAAACAATCCTAAATATTTCGAAACAGAACATTCGTATGTAAATTCACTTTAGTTTTTAATTAATTGAATTTCTTCGAAGACACAAAAGAGACGTTTCTAACTTTTATTTTAACTTTGCACGTTGCATACGTTTCTCGCATAAATTTCCTCAATCGTGACGTCGTAGAAAAAAAAGAACGGAGCAGAGCGATTTATTCTTCGCGGGCGGTCATTTAAAGGCCTTTGACCCGTGAACTGCAGATCTGTGTGTACATGGCTCGCGTGCGTGCATCGCGCACGTGCCGGTGATTATGCAACGGCAACGAGGGTGCAGCGTAAATTCAAGGAATTCCACGAAGACGCCGGTATCGGCGTCGACAAGCGGTAAGGTGAGCGTGCGCCACAACAGCTGAAGTGAGCAACGCGGAAGAAAAAGACAAGTGCAGAAAGTGCGAGGCAGACGGACGTAGCGGAAGAGGGAGGGGGAGGGGGAGGGGGAGGAAAGAGAGGGCGAAAGAGAGGAGAAGAAAATGACAAAGATAGTGGACCACCGAAATATCCGTTACTCTGTATGCACCATGCGCCTCGTGACAAGTTGCACGTATTCGACACATGTTCTCTGTCTCTGTCTCTGTCTCTGACATTAGAGATGTCAAATTCCATGAAATAATGTTCTTACGTCTCGAATGCGCTTACTATAGCTCCGTACTGGTACCATCGTTGGAATTATTAGCGGTAATTATTTAAGGTTACTCTATTCGAAGATAAAAATGATTCACAAAAATTTTTACTATGTCGAACACGCGGACTAAAAGCGTGGAAATCGCGCTATTTCTAGAGTGGCGTCAGCGGACCGCGAGACGTCTTATATATCACCGTCTTATAAGTTGTTTCCTCGAGCTCACTCATTTTCAACAATTCCCGAATTCACTGCTCGATCTTTCTCGTATCACGGTGCACGCGTACCCATTTCGATGCCTTGCTCTTGCGTTTTTCGTCATGCGGCGCTGTGCGTCGCGACCTCCCCGGCACGTCGCGTCGCGGCGCGTCGCGTCGCGGCGCCGTTGCGCCGTATGCACGTCCACGCACTCAACATCTCGTAGTGTTCGTTCGCTCGATTCTACGACGAGCGTATCGGATCGCGTATATAAATCATATATGCTTTTGCAAGCGTGATCGGAGTAGCGAGATAGAATGACTTGGGAGTGACTCCGAGGATTGAGAAATTATCTCAATCTGTTAGGGATCGAATACGAGACGTAACGAGATGTAACGAGACGCGGGGGTGCCGGATACGCGAAGCGTCATACGAGAGGAATAAAGACCGAGAATGAGCGCGAGGCAGATGGAGTTTGCGACGAAAGAGAAAGAAGGATAGTCTACGGCGATAGAAGAGCAGGGGGGGGGGAAGAGGAAGAGAAACAGAGAGAGAGAGAGAAAGAGAGAAAGAGAGGCAGAGGGCGAGAGGGCGAGAGGGATGCAGGCAGAAAGAGACAGATGGGAAAGAGACGGCGCGCCGCCGGTGCGAACGAAAACTCTGGTTGCCGCATTATCACGCGGAAACACATCTTACCTGTTTCACTAGTGGGAGTAGTGTCTGTTCTATCAAACACGACCCCGTGCTCCGTAGACTCGAGCCGAGGCGAGAGGGTTCGTTGCACCCCTCCTACCCCCGCCCGCGTGCCCGGCACGACTGCAACCCTTGCCCCCGCTGCCGTCGCTGACAGCCACCAGACACCCTCCTACCTGCGGACCAACCAATGGTCTTCGAGCCCCGTGCTCGAGCCGGCAATGACGAGGGCGACGTCGCGCGACGACGACGGCGACGCCGACGCAACTACTGCCGTCGACGCCGGACGCCGCGCCGGTGCGCTGGGCTTAAACGTCGCGACGCCACAACTCCCAGCCATCTCTTGGTTCCTCGCGTAACACTCTTGTCTCTTCGCTCTTGTCATTCGCCGATGCTGCCGTTGACGGCCGCCAGTAATTTCGAGTTACGCCAAAGTCGTAGGATATTCTTCAACCCCTGAGCTTCCGAAAGTGGAAAAGAGAGAACCTATGAATAACGTGTCAAATTAATCGATAATGCATTAAGCGAGATTCTATGCGAGTCGCAGTTTACTTTAATATTTATCGTGATATATATAATAATAAACTTACCACACAAATTTTCACGTCAGGGATTGACAACTCACTTATACTGTTGAATTAATTAATTTATATTTACGTACGAACTAAGTTAATTTAAAAAATAAAAAGAAAGAAAAATAAAAACTCCCCAAGGATGATTCATGGAATAAGCTTCTCTTTTCTTTTTCTGGATAAACGAATTGGAAATTTATCACTAAACAATTGCGATTATTTACTTTGGATATACAAAATGAATTATTAATTAGTCATACAAATTTGTGTGTAATAAACTTGATTTATTCATACTTACATCAAAAAATTAATGAACACTTATGAGTAAGTAAAGCTAGACAGCTGACTAGTTCTAGACATGAATTCATACATATTTTCACAACGAGGGGATAGTAACATTCAGTGACGAATTAAACATTTTGCCGCCCCTAGACACCAACATTTAGCTGCCTCCAGGTGGCTTCATTAATTTGATAAAAGGGAAAATGAATAAAAAAAAAGTTTATACCCTGATGTTAGTTGGTGAAAATATTTAATAATTCTTAATAAATATCTATAAATATAATACATTTTAACTGTATATTTAAAATATCGTTTTTGATAAAGTATGCTCGATGTAACTCGTGTAAAAACGTTAGATTAAAAATTTATTTCAACTGTGTAAATATTTTCTGTCTAAAAAATTGTCGTCTCCTCAAATTTGCTTTAGGCCGCTTTAGGCAAGTACCTTGTTGCCTATGCATTAATCCGTCACTGATAACAATAATAACTTATGATAACAATAATAACTTATTTTAAAGTTAAGTGTGTTCGAACATAAATGTATAATGTGAGTCCGAATTTGTTGCTCTCATGTAATTACATTTTTTTTTTAGCAAATATTTATCATAAAATTTCACATTTATTAGTGTTTTCTTTGTCAGTTATGTTTTCAAAATAAATTATTATAAAATACTGTATTCATATTTTTATATATATTTAAACATTAAAAATCCATAGCTTTGACCGATATAGGCATTTAATTTCTAGTTCGTATTGGTTGTGTTCTCACATGTACCGTTTAAAATAAGATTCTTATTCTTTTTTATGAATGTTGCAAATATTTTTTGCACGTGATTGTAGACGTAGCCAAAAAAAATTCTTTAGATTTTGAAATCGCGCAGCTTTGTATACATAATTTTGTACTTTTGCCAAAAGGAAGAATTTAAATGTAGAATTGCTAAAACGATGGGACTTCGATAGAGTATTACTGTGACTACTGCATATATTCGCATGTAAAGTACAAATACATATTTCCATTGGAAAATATTTGCATTTTACATATAATGCGCATATTGCGAAATATTATACCAATATATTACTTTTGTTGCTTAATTTAATTTGTGATATGTTCACAAAATATAATTATCTCGGCTTATATTCTACATATATAAGAATTATCCTATAATAACATTTAAGTTTTACAATAGATTATTTTTTGTATAAATGGCAATAATAATAGAATTTTAACTTATTTCACTACTTATCAACAGAAAATACATATATGCGTTTAATTAAGAATTTTTAATATTTTACAATCAACTGCTTTTTTTGTATCTAGTTTTTTACTTTTTTGTATCTGATTTTATCCTTTTTGTATTAGATATTATTCATAAAAATGAAATCATTTTTTATAAAATCAAATCTTTTGAAATATTTTCATTGAATTATATAAATTAATATCACTTGTTTGCGTTCATCGATTTGTTTTGTGTCGGTGCCAATGGCGCTCTTCTTTTAACATGTTTCTCCGGGACCTTGTCCTTCGGCAGTGACACTCCATTGGAAACAGTTCCTCCTTTTCTTTTCCTTAAAGATTCAGTCGGGAGATACTCGGTTGGTCTTAGCAATTGCCTAAAATTGTAAGGTCCGTTAATATCTTCCGTATCGTATTCAGCCTTGGCACTTTCTTGCCGCTTCTCAATCACCGTCGGCCTTAGAAGTTGCCTAAGATTAGTTGTAATATTGAAAGTATCATTTTGAAACTGTTCTTGATTTGTCGCTTTTCCGTTCGCTAATCGATTGAGATCATTCTTATGATCTATATTATTCTGATGATTTTTTATCGGATAGCCATTTTGCTTATGATTCGATCGATCTGTCTTTTCGGATTTATTATTTATCAAACCGTTATTTAACTCAGATTGTTCAGTATTCAAAATTTTTATCTGGCTCATTGCAATGCCGTTATTTATTTTACAGGGAGTCTGATGATTGTTGATCGATGTGTGATATTCATTAACGGAATTGTGATTGTCATTAACAAGATTTTGTCCATTAAAGATATTCTGACGTTCGTTTACGGCATTATATCGGCCATCGACCGTGAATCGTAGGCCAGGTGGATCGTGGATATTCGGAGAACTGGTTGTATATTGTCCACTCGTGTGTGATTGCAGATTCTCGTTACGCAGGTTATTAACCCTTGTACTGGAAAAATGAATTCTGTTTTGAATTCGGTCTTTAAGAAAAAAAACTTAAAAAAGACATATTTCAATATAAAACAAATCATATTTTTTGTTTTATGAATTGAGATTAAATTACTTGCGAATTATAAAATCACTAATTGTAAGAGATATACCTATATATACTTATCAAAGTAATAACAGAATAAATTGATATTTTTACCTGAAAATTTACCATAATGCCTCTGGCAATATATATAAAGATATAAATGCGACATTAGTTTTTTTATTAGATATTTATAGGAATTCTCGTATTTAATTAGATTTATTTTTATCGGTCTAAAAGACTATGTCCAGTTTTTTATAGGGGAATTTGGGCTTCAGATGAACAACTTTGAGACATGCTTAAAATTTTAAGGTATTAAAAGAGAATAAAAAATTCCATAAGCCCAACTTTATAGGAGAAGTTTCCTGAATGCTAGAACTACCTAAAGTTCGCTATTATGATCATGTACCACTAGTCTTATCCAATTTCTTTGCGTCCAGGCACCTTTCCGCAGTGACAGCGATAACGAATTGTGTCAAAAACATTGAAGTAATATCTAAAATGTATTTGGTACAGTTCATTAATCCGGTTAAGTCCCTGGTCGCGATTCATGTCGTCATGTCACAGAAATTCGGATTTGCTTGTAATGACGGCGATGCCTCTGGAGTTCGCCCTGAGGGGAAAAAGGGGGAGGATGGACAAGTGGCGAATGTATCAATCGGGATAAACCAGCCTTTGATACGGGATCACCCTGAAGCAGCTACTGATCGCGATTATTGTGGGCAATGTGGAAAATATGTAAAAAACCAGTCGCGTAAACATTTGTTGGTTGGGGAAGTGTTAGATTTCTTGGAACAAGAACCTAGTAGTTCCACAAGAGCCCTACTCAACACATTTAAATATATATGTCATGCCTGTTGGTGCCATTGTAAAAGAAAACGTATTGAAACGAGAGATGGAAACGTTATAGTTAAAAACTGAATCGCAGTCTCTTTGTCAAATCCAATTGGACATTAGTAGGGCATCTTGCAGTCAAAAAAAGTGTATATTTGGCTGAAGAGAGATAAGGTCCATATATGGGCAAATTTCAATTAGGCAATTTAAACCTTTTGTTTCATACTTTGAGTGTCTCTCTCCCCTCTTCATCAATTAATATATATCACTTATAACTATTCATTTGGGGTCCAAAAAGGTTTTAGTTGTCTTCGTCAAGATTGGATTCCAGATACTAGATGATTCGAAAAATCGAATAAAATCAATCCTATATGATACACAATACATGGTCATAATAATGAACTTTGAACAGTTGTAGCACTCAAGGGACTCATTTTACAAAGTTGTGTATATGAAACTTTTTAATCCTTTTTTTATGCTCTACAATCTTAGGTCTCAATGCTGTTCAGCCGGGGCCCAAACTGGGCATAGTCCTTTGTATTATATTATTAGATATTTATTAAAATATAAGTTCATTTCATAATTAGTAATATTAAAATTAAAATTGGTACAAAAGGAGGATGTTAAAAACAGACCGATTTTTGTTCATAAAGATATAAGTAAAAGGAATAGCGTTTTTATAGATTTTGACTTTCTGAATACGATAATGTTAATAAAAAGTTCGGAATCGTAGGGAACACCTTGAAAATTGAGCATGATATATTTGAACAAATTTCAATATTTTTATTTACTTTTCTAGGTATTCCTCAAATGCTACGAACTTTTTAATAATTTTATCATATTCAAGAGATCAAAATCTACAAAAAATACTATTTGTTTTACTTGCATCTTTTTGGGCAAAAATCTGCCTTTTTTAGAGGATATTAAAAAAGATTTTTGTCTAAAAAAAAAAGGAGTGTAAGTAAAAGAAATGTTTTTTGTAGATTTGTACTTTCTGAATATGATAAAATTATGAAAAAGTTCGTAACATTTGGGGAACACATTTGAAAAGTAAGTAAGAATATTGAAATTTATTCAAATATATCATGTTCATGCTCAATTTTTAAGGTGTTCCCTATTGATCCCGAACTTTTTATTAACATTATCGTATTCAGGAAGTCAAAATCTATAAAAAATATTTTTTTTACTTACATCTTTATGGGCAAAAATCGGCTTCTTTTCAACATACTCCTTTACAAATTATATATAGTTTCAAAAAAAATTTATTACAGTTTGCTCTATAAATTTGGAATAATTGAATAACTAGAAAAATCTGTCGTAGTTAAATTTTTGAAGTTTCAACCATTAGATTGAACGCATTCATTTAAGTAAATTTCTTATTATTATCATATAAGTATAAAGAACTTGTAAAATATACGTATGTTGTAATTCTCACCTGACATTTTTCTTGGAGCTCTCGTTTTTGCGAAGATCGGAATACTGTAGCAGGGCTTTGTGCCAAATGTTTGATAGATGTTGTTCTGGTGCCACTACAAAATCGCTCTGAACTGTACGATCTCTCCTTTCGGCACTCACTTCCAGAATATGACCCTTCTGACTCCTGTATAACGATTACCTCGTTTTACATCAATATAGATTAAAGACACATGAACGAATCACTTTATCTAACTATGAGACTATTTAAACATGAATATGTACACGAAAATACTATAATCAAAGTACAAAATGCTAATAATTGCTTAGAAATAAAGATTTATATTTAATTTAAAAAAAAAATTAATTCTATCGAGTTCTTTGCCGAAACTTAAAAAAGTGTTTAGCTTTTTTTAAGTGTCGAGCTTTTTTTATAATTTAAAGATTCAGGCATGTGTTTTAGATCCTCTTGCTTTCTGTAATGCGTAAACGATAGCTAGGAAATACATATACAGGGTGTTTCAGAATGACCGCCAAATATTTCATGCGCAGATAGAGCGAACTAAACTGATTGTGAGTCAAAAAGTCTTCATTTTGAATTTTTACAATAACAAGATATTAATTATTAATATGGTTTTCAATAATTTTTTATTCAAGTACTATCGACTTTACACAAAAACAGCAAAAGACAAAAGGTAGAGGACTTTGATTCAGTTTAGTTCGCTGTATTTTGGGACATCCTTATATATATATATATAACTAGTGTCAGAATAAATTTATATAGACATAGTCGATCAAATCTATATACGGTGTACCTCGATGAATGAAGGTCATTCTCTAGCCGTATCAACGGCAAGTCCCAGCCAACTTCGTCGTCTTCGAATTCCGAACCACTTGCGATACGAGTGCCAAAAGCATTCGAAAATTGAGCATTTAAATTTTTGATTTATTCGCGATGCTAAGTCAAAGCATAGCGTGCCTTGATTTTTATGTGTATGTACGTACATATATATAAATATATCTACCTGCTCATCTCTTCCTTCAGATCCTGATAGTATTTAACACTGTCTTCCTCTTGTGGCTGCATTCCGCTACGGTACTGTAATATCGACTGCACCATATTAAATCCTTCAGGACGAACGTAATCTAGCGGAGGTTCCTCGATATCATTCAATCTGATACCAGGTTTGTTGCGACGGAGATTTTTGTGCACTTCCTGGTTTTTCATATGTACCTATCAATAGAATAGGACCGTATAAATAACAGTTAATTTAATCAAATTAATAGTAGTCAACAATCGTATTCTTCGATTTCTTAGTATTAAGTGAAAAGACTAGGGTTGAACTTGAGTAAAAAGAAATAAATTATTTTTTGTATTAATTCCAAAACTATAAATAATTGTTAATTACATTTTGAGAAAACTGAATTAGATCTGCTTGTCGTAGTTTAGGATGTACAGGATCTTTCATGGCTGGTTTCTTTCTGACTAGTTTCTCTTCTTTTTTGTACCATCTTTGAACAATAAGAGCTGCGTCTTCGTGCTTTAGTCCTTCGCGCAATAGCGCTTTGTGGCCATCATATATATTGTCATAATTGTTTAAAATCCTCTTAAAACGCTCCTCTAGATCGTATCCAAACCGTTTACGAATAGTATAACCTCGAAAGTCTATATAAAAATTCAATTATATTCAATATTCTTGACTGTCAATTATAGGTGGCAGATATAATTTTTATACGTACGACTTTGTATGACAGTTGCTGCAACGTTCTTTTCTAGATTTTTACGCATTTGTCGTTTTTCGCGATTATTTATGTCTATATTTTCCTGCTCTCTACGTTTCACCTCATCTATAAAAATATTAAAATAAATAATGGATACATAATGTAGTCACTTAGGAAAATTATCAAAATTGAGGATAGAACTCACTCATCATAAAATTAAGCGCCTCATTTTCCTCTTTCGCACGTTTTTCAGCCAACATTTGTTCTGTCTGTTTTCGGGATAACCATCCTCGAATATGGCGTTGTAACGTGACCACTGATACAGCAAACTGCCATTTTTGCTTCTTAAATCTTAATTTTGCGAGCCATCTTCGAACACATGCTTGGACTATAATTATCTTCCTCAACTGTTCCTCATATAGTTTTGAGAGGAATTCGACGTGATAGTATTTTAGAAAAACCTTTGTCTTGCCTAACGCCCATCCATCCATTTTTAATCGTAATAGAAGAAGTCGACAATTATCTCGATTGGCAATTACGCGTTCATCATAGCCGAAAGCAAGAAAGCAATATCTGTACAGTTTATAGATTCGTATAGTTGATAAAAATTGCAATGAAGATATCTTGCACTTCTCCGTTTGTAATTGTAACCAATTTGAAAATACCTCTTAAGAAATTCGTTGAATGGTATCCTATGGGAAAATCCATTTTGTCTTATACGTATTGTCTCGAGGACACCGGTATACCTCAATTGCTTTACAACTTTGTCTTTATCGAAGAAACGTGGACTTTTCGAATCGTTTGGTTTTATACATCGAACGAACTGAGGTGAACCGGACACCATTTTTTGTAATAGATCCATTAGAGAATACCGGAAGTATGTCGCTACCGTCTGCTGAGCTCTCGATTGTGATGCTAAACCTCGACTAGAATAACGTTCCTACGAAACATTAATACGCCGTTAATACTTTATACAAAAATGAAAAAAAAAATATATATAAATTTAGTGCGCACATACACACACGCACACGAACACGCACACACCTTTGTGTTTTGATTTGATTGCGATTTTCTCGAGTCATTCTCCTGCAGCGCCGAGTATAAATTACCGGTTTTCGTGATCGGGCATTGGAACAGGAAACGAACCATATCGTATTGCGACTGTCGTACCAGTTGAATGACTTCGGGTGGCAGGAAGTTTCTGTTCTTCTCGAGAAATCCCTCGGCTTGATAGACCACACGACCAGCGAAATGATATATCGCGAAACAGACCGCGTCCGATTTGGGGCGTACGTAGAATTTTGATTTAATATTGTTGTGAAATTTTTCTGCCGGAAAAATTACAAGTAGTAAAAAAGATATAAAAATAGGTCGACTGTTTTATTCACTATTTGTTGTGACTTTAAGTGAAAAGTTGTATACTGGTTAGTACAATCGTTACCAAGAAATTCTATTAAAAAATATATTACAATTTTATTTATTAAAAAAAAAATTAACTCCCAGATATTTCGTCGATAAAATCGTATATCCATGTTGAATGAAAGTAGCGCAAAAAATATACGTTTATAAAATAATAATGTATCTAGAATACTCACCGATCAGAGATCGATTGGTCGCTCTGGGAAATCGGCTCTCTTCATCGAGAAGCGCCAAGAGTCCCATGGGCTTGCTTAGTAACATATCGAGAACCGGTCTGTTGTCGGAAAATTCGACGAGATCCACGGGTATTCCCTCGGCCATGTATTCCTGTTGCTCCCAAGTAAAGATGTGTTGGTTGAAGTAATACTGTATCTGTTCGTTAGCTATATTGATGCAGAGCTGTTCGAATGAGTTTCTAGGAAAGTTTTCGAAGCCAAAGATATCTAGCAGCCCGATTGCTAGCGGTTCGTAATTTGGTGAACGGCTGAAGCACAGTAAACAATTGATCTGGTTGACCATCCAATCGAAGAGTCGGCCATAGAGACCTTTGGCCATTGCGTCGCGAGCAGCACGAGCTTCGGCTACCGTATTGTTCCGCGTAATTGTCTCGCCTCTGGTCATCACCGAGTTTGATGTCAAGGCTTCTAGGAGATCGTTCTGTTCGACGCCGAGTAATTTTGAAACTGAAAATCCAGTTTCTATATAATTACGACGATAATTGATTTTTTTGTGATACGTTTATCAATATTTATTTATACATATATCAAATAGGACTTTGATCGATGAACTAATTATAACTATGATTGATTCTAATAATATTTGATTTTTAATTATTGAACTACTATAACAAATATAAAGAAGACAAGACAAATTTTACCTCTATGTAATGGAATAGTGTCGATGACTCTACTTTTATTGTCGGTGTTGTCTTGTGTTGCCACTTCAGCAAATTCAATGTCACCTAGATGGAGGATAGCGGCTAAAACCCGATACACCGTGTCTACCTCGCTATCCTGAAATCCGAGTACCTTGAAACCCATTTTGAGCTGCTGGAACTTGTCAATGTGCGTTTGCGACGTGTGACTGTAATGCGTGAGATATCGATGATATCTTCGAAGCGTAAGGTCGAGGTAATATTCCGAGAGGCGGTCATCCGCTTCCAGGCCATCGTACATATAATAAAAAATATGAAAGTTTCGTTCACCCCTGGAAAGTCCCAAAATTTATTGTCTTTAGTTTGTGTGTGTGTGTTGATTAATTAAAAATTATATATATATTTATATACAAGTTATATGTTATACATATAACTTATAATTTTTAAGAACGTACTCAGCTTGAGCAATCACTCGTGATTGTTCCAACAGATATACTGAAATTCGCGCACCAGTCACCTTTCCGCCTTTTGTCATCGTTAGATCTAGGTACTTTCCGAATCTGGAAGAATTCGCATTGATACCAGTCGTGGCATTTCCGAAAGCTTCCATTATAGGATTTATTTGGAGTATCCTTTCCTCGAGGTTACGATTCGGCGCCTTGCTGAGATAGACGAGCTGTTTTAGTAGTAAATTTGCGCTTTCCGTCTTTCCGGCACCTGATTCGCCGCTGATAACTATCGCTTGGTTTTGACGTTGATGAAGTAGAGCTTGATACGCGGCATCGGCAACCGCAAATATATGTGGGGGATTATCTGATCTCGCTTGTCCTTTGTACCGTTTTTGTTCCTAAAGAATAAACTGTTATAGTTATAATTATAATGATTTATACTTTATTAAATGTTTATTACAAGTTTAATACAAGTAACAAAATAATTTATGTGTGTTTATTAATATGTGTCTGTATTAATGCAACAATTTATCGAATGTAAATAAAATACTTACGATACCGGTATATAAACCTAGATTAGTGAAAGGATTAACAGCAACCAGTATATCCCCGATATATGTGTATATCTGCGCTTGCTCATATCGGTATGTCGAGAGCCGCCAGATCATCCATGTACATCTTCTCTGGTCTCGTCTTGCGGTCCGTCTTCAATTTACCATGTTTTGTAGTCACTTCCGGCTGCCGGTGAACGCGACCTTCTGTTCTCTGTCTACGAATCTCTTCTCTCAATTGCTCTCTGATTTTCTCTACGATTGGTTCCACCTTTGTCAATAATGGATGCTCTCTCAATTCACTGGCAAACGGTCGATGCTCCAAATCTTTCACCAAACATTCGGCTATAAAATCCGTCAGTTCCGACGAATATATATCCGGATTTTTTAAGGAAGGGGGAGGATTTCTCGGAATTTGAAATAGTGCCCGCATGGGATGCAATTCCGATAAGGGAGGGTCACCCTCGGCCAACTCGATAGCGGTAATGCCGATCGACCAGACATCGCAACGCGAATCGTACGATGAATCCAATTGCTGCTCGCAAGCTATTACCTGTTTTATGACACGATCGAAGCATAGTTGTATTTAAATTATCAAAATTTGCAAAATTACGAAATGACCGAATATTTCGAAATTATATGCATGTATAAGATTCGCTTTTTTTTCTAAATAGATCGTTCGATTTGCCATACACTGTTAGAAATACAAACAATTCTTAAATTAAATAAATTTCATTAACTTTTAAGTTACACAATTTGAACTTAATTTAAAGACATTACATTAAATTTAATGTATTTATAATTAAAAAGTATATTTGTGTACATGTACATAAAATTTAATATATTTTTCATAAATTTAATGTACATGTTCATTATATTTAAGTAATTGCTGTAGCTTAATTTTCAGTTAAATCATTCATTACTTTTAATTTTGTTCATAACCACGAGTTTCATTTACATGTAAAGGAAGGCTCGTGGTTACACTTCTAACAGCGTATATTATTTTTGTTGCTTTTATTCATTATAATATTTTTTGCTTTAAAAAAAAAAACAGCGAAACTTGTTAAATAAACTCACCTCCGGTGCCATCCAATATGGCGTTCCGACAGATGTGTTTTTCCTGGCGAGAGTCGCAGCCAGATGTGAAGATACACCAAAATCGACCAATTTGACACGCGCTTCTTCCGTGAGGAGGATATTATGACCTTTCACGTCGCGATGCATGCAATGATTACTGTGCAGAAAGATCAGAGCTTCGACGGTCTCCTTCAAGATATAAGCTATTTGGTCATCCGTTAGGCGACTGCCACGTTTTTTGAGACCCTGTACGAGGTCGGTTACGGAACCTCCAGTGCACAACTGGAACCGGAGCAATTAACTTTTTACATAACCCGATTCCGTTTATTCCTTGAAAGATCGACAAATTGACGTACACACAAAAGGAACAATTTTTCTGTATTTAAAGATTAAAAAATTTAATTAAATACACACAGATCTGAAAGTAATCTTTCTTAAACTATCAAATAATTGTGTATAGGACGCTCAAACTTGTTGTGTTAGAATATCAAGATTTTTTGTACCAGTACTCATTATGCGTGAGTTTCTTACAAAATTATTTCCAGATCTGTATCTAGTAAATCTTTAGATTTTTAGCAAAATCGTTCTTTTTGTGTAGGAAAGCAGAAAGTAACTAATTTATGTATATAAAAATTTCGAATTATTAAGAAATACATTTTCTTAATTGATTCTCTCACTCTTGTTTTTCTTTTTAAAGAAAACAAAAAGGAAAAGATATGTATTTATAGAACTCAATTAGAATGGATAACAGCTTTTATCAGCAAGCATCGTTTAACTTATTACGATTAATTGTACAAGTAATCTCATCAATTTTACATTTAATTTTTTAATTTTTTTTATAAAAAAATTCATTACATTTTCTTTTTTGTGAAATTTGTTTTATGAAATTTAATGACTGTACCTCTATCACGAACCATAATTGATCTTCTTCCTGACCAGGCTTCGCTCGCTTTAAAAATAAACCGTGAAAAATAGGAATATTTGGGTGTTGACTCAAATCTCTTAGCACCAAATATTCTTCTTCAATCTCTTCGATGTTATCAGCGACATTCTCCAGTATTTTGATAGCAACCTTGTTGTCAGTTTCTTTATCGTAAGCAGCGTACACTTCGCCATAAGTACCCTCGCCGATCAATTCTTCCAATCGAAAACGTTCACCTGGATCCGGTATCACATCGAAATTGACATGTTGACTGAGACCGTGGTATGCCATGTTAGTTCCACCTCCAGTCATTTCTACACATAATCGATGAACGCGTCGCTGTTAGAATCTTGTGAGTTAAGATGTGATTATACCAATGCGAAGACTTTCAAAACAATAATAGCTCCAACAAGATATTATTTAAATCGTTTTTGCTTTCTTCGCTCTCGAATGTTGAAAATAATAATAACAATGAAGCTTTGATTAGTTTGAAATTTCTATGAAATAGGGTAATAACATTGGAATATCTTGTTACTTCTAAAAGTTACTTACGCGACGACATTTCCATCTATTTTTTTTTTACTGAACACGGGACACTTTTTGCAAAAGATGTTAAAGCGCATTAAAGAAAGTTTTTTTTATCGCAGCCGCTCTCGGTGATAATAGTATAGCTTTTACCGAAGTAATATTATCGATCGATTATTTTTTTACATGCTTTCCTCGAAAGTTTGAAATCTCAAAAATCTTGATACTTTATTGGAGTGGCATCAATGGAACGTTGTTAACTCTATCGGCTGTGACACACTACTGGGAGCATTCTTTTTCCAATTGGATATCTATTAACTCCTTAATAGTATTAGTTTGAGTATTAGGCTTGTATTGGTTAGACCGGCGCACTTTTGCTTCGTCTCAAATATAGGTCTGCTAAGAAAGATGCGCTTCGTTTAATTTCAAGTTTCTTTCGTGACTGTACATTGAAAGACTGGTCGTGAAAATCATTAAATAGTGCATTCGTGCACAGTACGAAGATCAATTTGTGCGAATGCACAGAGAAAGCTACGGTAACATTGAAAACATTGAAAAATTTATTTAACTCTATTAGAATATTCAAACTCTTTTTGTATATTTAACTCTGTACATTAAAATCTCTTAGCGAGATTCCAACTTTTGTGTGAAATTGTTGTTACGATATAAGTATTTACTAATGATTTTCTAAAGTGTCAATACATTCTTTGTGCATTAAAATTTCTTACCGTGATATGTTTTGTCAATTAAAAAGCAAATATTATGTTGATATTTTTGACATATTGTATGACAGAAATTATTTTATTTTGCAAGATAAAACAAATAGTATGAGGTTTAATCATTGTATTTTTATTGCTTATTCTAATAATTTGTTTTGCTATCAACGAGACAGTCTATTTTTCTCATAACGAGGACATGTATTTCGAACAATATTGACTTTATATTGGAAGTCCTATCCAATTGAACGAAGCCATGTAAGGAACAATAAGCTCAGTAGTAGCTTCAAGCAATGTCTCGTTGTAACATATTGAATATATGAATATAAATAGTCAATAAAACTTTCATAAATTTTGTCTTCTTTTCCAGTGCTCATTATCTTCTTCAGCGAGAAAGATTGTTTGATAATTTATAAACCTGATATTTCTGGATAATAGGATAAATCCAAACTATTTAGATACTCTCTCGATTACTATAACCGATTTACTCAATGTTCGTTCGTGCATATCGGCGAAAGGATTTCTCTCAGAATGCTTCACAACCCGCCTTGCTAATTTTCGATGCATTTAATTTCACTGGGTATGCAGATTGTTTTCATAGCGTGACTGACAAGAATGTGTCTTAATTGAACGTAAAACATCGGATATCTAATTATCATCTTTTTACTGAAATTTTAATAGTAAACAGTAATGGTAATCACAATTGTTAAAATAATTGCCAATAGATATATTAATGATTACCAATGGAACTAATTGAAAAATAACTAGAAATTATTTTGAATAATGACAAATTGAGATACATAAATTACGTGTTAAAGTATATTTGAATAATAATTAACTGTTGTTAATGTACTAATAATGTAACTTACATAGATTTCTTATTAAAGGTTTTATCATGCAAAATTATGCACACGCTAAATATGCAGGTACATAATTACTGCATGAGTAAAATGATGGGAATCATGTCAAAAGCGCATTTCTGAATTGTTTTCATGCGCAAGAGTCTGCGCGCATAATTATAACAATTGCACTGGAACTTTATGAGATCACTAGTAAATACCTATACCTATACCGTAACAACGGTTTTTACACGTAAAAGTTGATGTGGAAACTCCTTCAGATCTCTTGTACTAAAAATAATGTGTACAACTGCGAACAAGTGTTTATCTCATTAAGATACATGATATAATAAACGATTTCTACGTCGAATTAATAACAAGGCTATCTTCTGCATCACTGATCAACATGATTAAGAAGATTCAATTTGTTGAATTGAATTTATCATTGAGTTTCTTTGAAACGTGATAATAGCGCTCTTATTAGTAAACAACATTTTCTTTTCTGTATGATATTGAAAGTTTTGAAAACCACAAATCGGCTAAAATCATAAAATCATATATAATTGGCTAAAATCATAAAATAATATTATTAATGTTAGTACTTGAAGCGAAAGTAGTGAAACGTAGCAATTATCTTGACGGTCAAAGAACCAATAGTTATTTTATAAACTATAAACCATTTTTAACACAGCACGTTAAGGAAATATTTAGTTTTATTAAAGAAAGTTGAATCAATAATTTAGTCAAATAGTATTTATTATATTAATCTAACAAGTAATTTTTTTAATATCGCACATAAATGATTTGTTGCTCTAAATAATTTTTTTATTTCTATAAGTTTTGTTTGCTAACAACTTTTCGGAGAATGAAGAAAAGAATATAACAAAAAGATAAAATTTATTTAGTCGTACTGTATCTACTTTTGCAATTCATAATGATCAGTCGTACTCGTTTTAGTGTGCGTTCTTTATGTTTCTTTAACCATTTTCACAGATCGATACCCTCTGCTGCGGACATTTTACTGCAATTTCTACGAAAGCTTTGTCATTCAGCGTTGATTGTTGAAAGGCGCTCATCGCTGAAAATTACTCGTGAGACATTTCACCGCGAAAATGCGTGATCGCATTTCAATCTCACGGTTCGATACCTTTGACAAAGGTATCAATTGCTCAGCAATAACTAATCGTGTACCCTCGATCACGTGCACGCCGAGAGTATTAGAGCGAAGAAACCCGATGTGAAATCGGCTTAAGGGTTTAGCTGCAAAGTAATGTCCTACTGTCTTGGACAATACTTGTGATTGAAAAAGACGCAGTATAATGTTTAAGTTATACGAATGCAACGACTTCTTACGTTATGTCTGGATGAAAATGTTTATCGATTTTATTGCATGTAGACTATTTCTTTCGTTGTACATATCTTATTATTTTCGGCATGTTAGAGAGAGAAAAAAAAGAGATATTTATAATGATATATATATATAATTTAAACTTTTATTTTGAAAAATAATGAAACACTTTTGAAAATGTGTTGTGCAATGACAAAATTATTTTCAAGAAGAAAGATCTTTTCACATTGCAATAATTTAACATGGAATAGGATCTGAATGAAGAAGCGATAATAAAAGTTTTTATTACCGTCAGTAGCCATTAGTGGTAATTATTGCATTTCTGGAAGAAACAATTTCTTTACGAACAATGCTTGCTCGCGTTTGTCCATGATGAAATAATTATTCGAAAGCAAAGAGTGTCGTGTGGACGACTTCCCATTTTCACCTTGCGACTTTTATGTAGCCATTAATTTTTGTTTCGATCTCTTTTTACTCTATAAATTATCTATTATATATTTCAGATTGTTGCACTAGCAAAGAATACCGAACCATTACGTGATGTCTTTGGCGAAGAATTACGATTCGGTTGTGTATATAACTTTAGTAAGAATTTTATGTTATCTTAATCTCACAGGTATTATGATAACATATCGCGAATTAATTTGACACATAACATAAATAGTTTTGATAAGCAGCCTAAAAATCGAGTAAATGCTTTAAAGTTTAAGCATTCGTTAGTTTCGCTTTCGTGATTCGCATTAATATTTCGTCAATAAATCGTTCGACTGATAGCGTGCCGTTTCGAAGGAAGATGAAGAGAAAAAAAAACATGAAAGAAAAAGGAAGAAAGTGAGAGAGGCGAATTTTTACTCACGCCATAATTTCTCCGTTCGCTTTTAGCGCGGTCGTATGTCAAACTGTTTGATACGCAAAAGAACGGGAGCTTTTCCCGATTGTACGTACATTGCCAGCCGCGGTTCCGCTGGTTTAATCTTTTCAGCGTGACGACGTAACGGTACAGTGCGTGCCATCAATGACTACGGTGTGTCGAGTGACGCTCCCACGTAACGTCGCATACGGGACTGCTCGCAATGTTGCCAAAATCATGTTTGCTATTGTATGTTAATTGTACGGAATAGAATGAGACGAAAAGAAACCATGCAAATCATGCACTCGCGAAACAAAATTTCGCGTGTCGAATATTCGCGAGTTTCGAATCGGTTTATCTTGGAGACGAAGAGACTTTGGTAAATATGCTGTAGGATTTATTTGTGTTATATTACTATATACAATAATAAATATTTAATAAATATTAAACTGTATAAATATCAAACTATAAATAAATTACATGAATTTATTTATAGTTTTTCAGTATATTAATATCTTTTTAACAGGATGCCTAATTGAATATCAAATTATTAGATAGCTTGTCAATTTAATTCATGATATTACTACAATGGTTTAATTGCGTTTATAAGTCCGAAAAACCAATTTGGCGCGCAGTGTAAATGACTAAATATGATATATAATATACATGTACATGTATATTATATCATAGTATGAGATACCTGAACTGAATAGGCCCAGGCATTAAATAAGGCCCACTTTTAAATTTATTATTTTAAAACTCTTCTGCAGTATATATTTAAAAGATGTGTCATAGGAAATAGATAAAAAAGGATTAAAGAATTAGAATCGATAGCAACACGTGTTGTTTAATATAAAAAAGCTTGTATGTATGAGGTTAGTATGAGCCATTTTTACAACAATCCGGTGCAAAATTCACCAGTATACAATGTTTCATAATTTGTTATAATTCATTATAATATTATTCAACTTCCTAACTATGGAAAATAATTAATAAATCAATTTTTTGAAATAAGTATTTTTTAAAAATAATGTACTTATTAAATAAGGCTCATTTATGTGATTATTATTATATGCTATTATTATTTGTTTGTTATGTGTGGAATTTACGCCGGAAAATAACGATTTTCAATGCTGCTACTTTTTAAGAAGCCAAAATTGTATTCAAATTGCTAGAAATTTTCAAAGATTAAAAAGTTAATTACAAATAAAATTAAAGATAATTGTAATATTTGAGAGTAGAGTAAGTCCTAAGGAATTTCCTTTCCATGATTAATAATCATTTTAAAACTGATTTAGAAAGAAAATGTTCATTTTTTTTTATTTTTAATTTACTTTTGATTTGGGCCTTATTATATTCATATGTATGTAATAATGTCAGAGTTTAACAAAATTTTTTTTTTGTTCATTTACACATATTCTATATAAACAATATATTTTATCTTTGGGAGTGAATGAAATAAAGATTTGATTTTCACTTATTTCAATATCCTTATAAATAAAATTAAAAAAAA